CATGGCTGGGGATCAGTGCACCCTTAAGTAAAATGTGGACCAGATTGAGGCTGCAAAGGTCCAGAGTGACCCACAGGCCAAAGTCAGTCTTATGCAGAATAGCTTTTTTTTTTTTTTTTAAAAGGGTACCTGCAGCAGTCAAAGCTCATGCTTTTAGGACTAGAGTCTTAGGGTTCAACGCCTGCTGACAACCCACTTTGGGGGGTTTTCTGACCATCCTTTAGATCTCTGGGGAAATTAATAAAGACAGACAATTAAATGTCTAAGGTGCTCCCTGTGCCCTGCTCTCTGCTTGCCTACCGTGTAAACACAGCCAGTCAGGGCTACTCCATATGTTTAGTTGGTCCTAATTTTTTTTCTGCTTTTTTCTGAAGCTGCTCAATTTAACAGTAGATCTTGGGTATAAGAGCAAAGGCATTTAATTTAACAGATTTTTAATCACCAAGAAAGAATGAGTCCATTAGGCAGAATTAATGTTGATGCTGTATCGCTTAAGCAGCAGCTATTGCAGTTTGCTACCATTACATTAAAATAGGCTGCTGGGAGCTGTCTGGCAGGCTGACGCTAACTGAGATGCACGAAACAGATCTGGGCGTTTTCTGTTGTGCAATTTAGAAGGGAAAAAAAAGGGCAACAGGTGGTCAGCTCCAGAAGTGATAGATGCTGCATTTTAGATCAGGGCTGTCCAATTTCTGAATATTTGGGAGCTACATGTCACATGGGCCCCCTGTAGTGGCTTCCACATCCTCCTTCACTGAGCTGTCATGCTATGCAGATACCCCCAAACCATGGGTGCCATGGGCCCCACCCCACCCTGCCTCTAGGCGTGGTAGCAGGAAGCTGAAGATGGATGAAGGAGTTAAGAGTCTGGCCCCAGTAGCGGCAGCCAGAATTGGGGGGGATGATGCCCAGTTGGGAACTTGTGGGTCATGGGCAGCCCTGTTTTAGATGAGGAAAACGTAAAGTGTTTGTGCCACTTGGGCCAGCTCAAACTAACCTAATCATTTTACTCTTTCCTAGCACTTCTCTTTGCAAAAGCAATGAATAAATTAATATGACATGAAATTGAGCAAAAGGATAAAGGTAATGTTCCAACAGCTGTAAGATCACTTGAATGTGTTCTTTATATTTTAAGATGTATTTCTTTGGCTGACAAGGCCTCCCTGCTCCCAGAGAGAAATGCCTCTCGTAAAAAATATATATTTTTCTGCTCCTTACCCCTTTCACCCAAAGATTTCCAAAGTACTTTGCATGAAATACTGTACCTATTACAGCCTGAATGGCTAAAATTATTCCCATTTTATGAATGGGAAACTTGAGGTAAAGTGAAATTGTGATTTTTTTTTTTTTTTTAAAGAGAAGTTCCAGAGTCAGGAAAAGTGTTGTTGTTTTAACTATACAGAAATGTTTCAACCTGGGAAAGAGACAGGGGGTAAAAAATGAGTTTCCAGACTAAAATTTTGAGATTCAAATTTAAAAAGGAAAAGAAGCATGAACTATAAAAATAAGTATAGTGTATGATTCTCTTCAATTACTGCACACAGTCTTAAGCAAAAATACAGTTGTCTGAGGGGTACACACTGCCATAGACTTTGTATATAATTTGATTAGTTGAAACTCACTTCCTCATTTTCCCCCTGTGTAGTCAGCCCATTTTATTCCCTCTGTCTGTAGAGGTTTCTCTATAGTCTTCATTTGAAGTAGAAATTACTGAAGCTCAAATCTTGGAGTGTATAGAGATACCACATCACTTGGTATGGGTTCCTCTTACCCTCGAAAGGCTGGAAAAAACTATTCTGTCAGTGTTGTATGAGAGGCTCTGTGCACATGGGGTGCATCCCCATAAGCAGGAACATGTTTCTCTGGGGACAAGGAGCAGTGGCACTGTGCCACTGCTCCTTGTCCCCAGAGAACATATGTGCCACGCACATCCTAGCATGTTGCCCCAGGTGGGGCAGGGGAGGCTGGATCCAGCAGCCTTACCTGGCACTCTGGGGGCCTCCCGGGAGCTGCAGCTGTGGCACTCCTGCAGCTGGGAGCCTGACCAGGCTCTGGTTTGGGTGGTGTGCACTGCCACCATGTACGCTGCCCCAGTTTCTTCAGGTGTATGTTTTTTGACCCCAGAATCTTCTGAGGTCAATCCCCACTATCCTTCCCCGGGTGCACTGCACAGCATGGGGAATGCCTGCATATGGTGCCAGAGCGTGCATTTTTGTGGCTACCGTGGGCGCATCCAGACTATGGCTTCAGAATCTCAGCTTTTCCATTTGAAAAAAAAATCTGGCTCTTACAGGCACACACCTACTGGTCCAGGAGGTACTGAAAACAGCCCCTGATAATACTGTAGGGCCTAGGACAGGGACAGGCAATTTTTTTGGGCAGAGGGTTTCTTACTAAGTTTTGGCAAGCCATTGAGGGCCGCATGACAGGCAGCCCAGGGCAGATAAATATTAATTTTCTAAATTTTTAGGGGCCCTGTGGGCCGGATAGAATGGCCTGGCAGGCCGCTTCTAGCCTCCGGGCCGCATTTTGTCTACCCCTGGCCTAGGAAATGGGCAGAATGTAACAAGACTGGTATATAGGTTGTCACTAATTTTCTGATAGCTAGAGTATTTTCTTCAACTATGAGTTATAATTGTGTGAAAAGGGCATTTGGTGGTAATTTGGTTGTAGAATTTAGCCCCAGAAGTACAACTTAACCTGAATCAAGCTCATTATTATCTCCATGTTCAAATTTAGGAATATTACTTATTAAAGGTAACTTCCCTAATGTTTACTGACAAGAATCAATGTAAATAATTGCTTTAGTATACCTGAGCCAGAGGTGTACGCCCTTTGTTACTAACTGATTAACAGGTGCATGTTCACATACCTGCTGTTGGGGATGTACTAGACAAAGTTCCAAGAATTATATTATTTGAACTAGATAATTAGGCCTTTGGAAGGCATTAATGCTTAAGGAGTTTCCTTCTTAATTTCATAGCTGGTAGGGTTGGAAGGGACCTGAACAGATCATCAAGTCTGACCCCCTGCCATGGCAGGAAAGAGTACTGGGGTTAAATGACCCCGGCGAGGTATTTAATCCAGCCTCTTCTAAAAGCCCCCCAGGGTAGGAGCCAGCATCACTTCTCTTGGAAGTTGGTTCCAGATCCTAGCTGTCCTGACAGTGAAGTAGCGTCTCCTGATATCTAGCCTAAATCTACCCTCTGCCAGCTTGTGACCATTATTTCTTGTCCATCCTGGTAGTGCTCGGGGGAACAGGGACTCCCCCAATGCCTGTTGGTCCCCCCTGACCAGTTTGTAAATGGCCACTAGATCCCCCCCTCAGCCTTCTCTTGTGGAGGGTGAACAGGTTCAGGTCCCTTAGCCTCTCCTCGTAGGGTCTGCCCTGCTGACTCCTGATCATGCATGTGGCCCTCCTCTGGACCCTCTCCATGTTGTCCACATCCTGAAGTGTGGCACCCAGAACTGGATGCAGTACTCCAACTGCAGCCTGACCAGTGTCACATAGAGGGGGAGGATCACCTCCTTGGACCTGCTTGAGATGCATCTGTGGATGCATGACAAGGTACAACCACATCCCCACACTGTCGGCCTATGTTAATTTTGGCATCGATAATGACTCCAAGATCCTTTTCTGCCTCTGCACTGACGAGAAGGGAGCTCCCCAGCCTGTAGGTATGCTGCTGATTCTTCCTCCCCAGGTGCAGCACCTTGCACTTATCAGTGTTGAAACCCATCCTGTTCTCATCTGCCCACCCCTGTAACCTGTCTAGGTCTGATTGCAGCCTATTCTTCCCTTCTAGTGTGCCTACTTCTCCCCACATCTTAGTGTCCTGTCATATAGCAGTTCTGGCCAGATCTCACCCTAATACATTCATAAAGAAAGAACTGAGACACAAGAATTTGTAAGATGGCCCTATCACAGGATTTACATAACATGTCATGGGTGCAATAAAAGGGGTCAGTAGGAGCATCAGAAGACCTTTAATGAGATGTTAGCTTAATTCTTTCCCTGTGCCCCACCCCCCACTATTCCCAACTTTCTTTACAACTAAGCTGAGATGCCTCATTAAGTTTGCTTAATATATCTGGAGTTGAACTTCAAGCTAAATAGCTGTTCTCATTTTATTTCCACTCAATAGTAATCTTAGAGTGAGTAATGTCAGACACTTATCCCCAAAAATCAAAAACTAACTTGAAGCTAGTAAAGAAGAATCTTTTCCTTTCCACCTCTCTCAAGCTGTAACAAGTAAAACAGCACAACAGTTAAGATGAGAGTTGGCTGGGTGGGGCTATTAGTCTCACTGATTTAATACTCGAGGTGCTTAAATCCTAGTAAAAAACCACAGAATACATACTTTTGAAGATTTCATTCCAAGCCCTTGTTACTAGGGTAAAGGCTTGAAAAACCAACACGTGCAGAGAATAAGGTAGCAGTTTTCAAAGAACTTAAAAGGTACTACACACCCCATATGCATTTGGTATAAAATTCCCTTGGGAATCTTTGAAAAGAATAGACCTAATTCAAAGCAAATTAGAGCTACAAATACATGTATGGTGTTAGTCTCATTTATCTGTCATAGTACTACTTTAGCACTTTCTGCCTCCATAAAGGAAGGGAGGAAAGACTTCCTGGAAGAATGTTTACTTTTATCCATGGAATCATCCCCTATTTCTACCTAAACAACCCAAATATACCTTTTGTGCTAATTATTGGGGAACGGTATTACTAGTTTTGCAAAAGAGCAAATGAACAATGTTAGTGCCCTACAACATGTACTTTAACATGTATCGTTTAATTCCATACCATAATAGATCAGCAAAGAATTTAAAAATCTTCCTTTCCACCTGTATTTTACCCATTCAGTGAATTGAGATAAAAGCAAGGGTTTTGAAGGAATTGTCAAAGTTGTGGACTTGCAGAGAAAAATATACAGGATTCCACTCTACAGCATATTTTGGATACTGATTGTTACTAGTTTTAAGTACAAAACTTGTTTTACAAAAACACTTTATTGTCAAGTTTTTTCCATTTTGTAGCTAAACAGTGACTTTTTCTGTAATCAAACAATTTTAATATAGGAAAGTTTAAGACTAAACACATGGAAGCCAAAAATGTTCTGAATTCATAAAGGATGATAACATGTTATTTGACATAGTCTTAAACTGTACATGTCTGTCAGTGAGTAAGAACCAGCTATCCTTGGCAGTCTGCAAATGACTGACATAATCTCTCAGCACTCAAGTTATAAACTACGACTTGAACATTAACACTGTAAATTGAGGAAAACATTTAATAAAAACTCCTATTTATGATTCAAAATGCTTCTTCAAGTGCAAGTTTTGCCAATATTCCCTCTTTGGAAGCCAAAGCAGCAAAATAGTCTTTAAAACAACTTAATCTCATTGTTTGCTGCCTATAAGCAGACAGCAAAAAAATCAGTGATACGTGATCTGAAGGGAGGCTGCCATAATGACTGTAAAGAGTGGTCTACAGCAGCTAATTGTTACGGGGCTCCAGGCCAGAGCTTTTACAAGTAAAAAATCTTTTATGGAAGGGTTGTTTTACCTTTCTTTCTTTCTTTTTTTAAAAAGCTAAGTAACTCATTGAGCCACAGTAAAAATTAAAGGGACAACTAAAATGTTATTGCAACAGTGAGGTATTTAAAGAAAAAATGATAATAAAGTAAATCACCCAGTTTTTGCTAGTGTCCCTGTCATTGTCCAAATGGTCCCTGTAACTTCTGTCACCTAAAAAACAAAGTCTTGATTGGAGCCACTACTATAAGACTTCATGGCTATTCAGACACTGAACTAGATGCACTGGCTCTGTTTTCCTGAACAGGAAGAACTACTTCTTCTTTTAACTCTTGCAGCAGTTCAATCTGAGTATCCAGCCTTTTCCGGGTTTCAAGAAGTTCCTGAATCTTTTCCTCTGTCCCTGTGATGAGAAGAAAATCTTAAAACCCCACCACCCTTATTTGCAGTAAAACACACAAATATATGCATCTGATCACAAATCACTTATGATTGTTTGTTTGTTGAGACTTCACCATGAACGGTTCTCAAACACTTTTTGTTAGCCTACCAAGTTTTATATTTTGATTCCATCACAAGATGGATTTTACTTTGAGCACTGGAGTTAAAATGCATGGTGGTAGGAACACACACTTGTTTGTTCCAAACTATAGTTTGTATTTGTTGAGGGCTCTTCTGATTGAGACTAGATTTGACATCTTTAAATAAGGTAAACTCTTAAAATAGCATTTAAACTTGAATTATTGCACTTAAAATAACTAATTAAAAAGAACCAAGACGTCATTTCTGTGCAGTGTTATTTTACAGGAATACAAGTTATATGTGTATGTTTGCAATTTATTCTAAAAATAAAGACTTGGCTGCTCACCTAGGTCCCAGCCTTGACTGGAGAGAATTGGTTGGAGGGATCGCACCACTCCCTTGTGTGCAGTCAGTGTAGTTTGCCTGCTCTAATCATTTCTAGAGTTCCCTGCAGTTGGAATTCTGTCCAGTGAAGAGAGAGTTAAACACAGCGTGGCAAGCTTCTAGAGCAGTCAGCATCCTTTTAAGGCTGCAGGCCAGACAGACCCAGTGAAAGGCAGGCAGGTGCTAGAACCTAGCTGCTGCCAGCATCTTTCCCTGTGGTGGCAGGGGAAAGTGATTACTGCTGAAGCCCCATGTCTGCAGACCTGATCAAATGGCTCCCTAGGTCTGATGTGGCTGGCAGACTATAGGTTGCTGATCCCTATTCTAGAGGTAAGTGTTAGAAAGGATCAAGTTTTCTAAAGGCAGCCTCCATTGGGGTGTGCATGCTCCAGCACTACATTTCTAAAATATCTACCACCAGAGATCTGGGTTTTCCATTTCCCATGGAAAAACATGGATCTCCCCCCTTTATCAGAGAAAATACAGGTTATTCCTTTTAGCAGAGATACCCACAGATTTCCCACTTTTGCAAAGAGCTCAGGCTGACAGAGTTTCATCCTGTAAGAACTTCTTGCAAAAAGGGTAGCAAACCCCCAGACTTGGCTCAGGCTCACTTTTTCTTCCCAAAGCCTGAGGTAAGTGGGGCTGGCAGGGCTGAAGGGTTGCAGGTCATGGATGGGGGGCACCAACAGGGCTGGGGATGGCCCTAGGTGGTGGGTGCAGGTGACTGCCAGGGCTGGGGGCTATGGAAAGAGTCAGCAGGGCAGGTGGGGGGCAGGGCATAGGTGCATGGGTGGGGGCTGAGGAGTGTGGAGGTGTTGGGGGGAGGCCCCACATAGACAGCCCAGTCAGCCAGCGGACTGGGAGCTGCGTACTATTGTCCCAAGCGGGCTCTGTGCTTCAGTGTATGGCCTTGCATGGAAGCGTGGAGCCCACTTGGGCCAATAGCGCACAGCTTCTGGTCCATGTGCTGTGGGGCAGGCCAGGCAGGCTGCATGCCTCCATGTGCAACTTCCCACAGGAGTGTAGGAAGCACCACAAGGAGGCATGCAGCCCGCTCAGCCAATAGCGCACAGATCCCAATCCACACAGGACAGGCTGGGGGGGCTCTCTATCTCTGTGTGCAGCTTCCTGCACTCCTGCAGGATGCTGCACACAAGTGCAGGGCCTGGTCGGGCCAATAGCATGCCATGCACTGCGGGGTGGGCTGGGCAGGCTCTGCGCTCCTGTGTGCAGCTTCCTACGTTCTTGCAGGATGCTGCACATGGAAGAAATGGAGCCCTCTCAGCCTGATAGGCAGGTGTATTGCGGGGGGGAATATGGGAGCTGCAGGCTCCCCCAATCCACACAGGACAGGCTGGGTGGGCTCTCTATCTCTGTGTGCAGCTTCCTGCACTCCTGCAGGATGCTGCACACAAGTGCAGGGCCTGGTCGGGCCAATAGCATGCCATGCACTGCGGGGTGGGCTGGGCAGGCTCTGCGCTCCTGTGTGCAGCTTCCTACGTTCTTGCAGGATGCTGCACATGGAAGAAATGGAGCCCTCTCAGCCTGATAGGCAGGTGTATTGCGGGGGGGAATATGGGAGCTGCAGGCTCCACACCTCCACATGTAGCATCCTGCAGGAGTGCAGGAAACTGCACACAGGTGTAGAGCCTGCTTGGACTGATAGCGTGCAGCTCCCATACCACCACCAACCCCTCCCCCCTCCAAACCCCACCCTCATGCCCACACATCCCCACAAGGATTATGATGAGCATGAAGGCAAGGGCAGGACAGCCAGTGGATACTACAGGCAAGTCAAACTGCCCCATCTGTGGGGAAAGCAGACTCAAACACCTCAATAGCTTCCACAGATGTGTATGGAGGGAAGCAGATAACCTCCATTCTAGAATTCTCTGAAAGGAATAAAACATTAAATCATGTGTCTGGTACTGAGGTTACAGGGAGAGTTGCTTAATGTTTTATGAACTGAGTTTCAAAAAAGGGAAGTATGGATTGGAACTTCCTTTTAAGTATCCAAACCATCAAAATAAAAACCTTAATGCTTAAAACCACACTTCTGGTACAGTCCCTTGTTTTACAGCAGATGTTTACATACCTGAATGAGCATTTGTAAGTATGTTTTCAAACAGGCCACATTCAAAAAGTGATGTTACAGTTTCCTCATACTCTAGGGATGGAAAAAAAGAGTTTATTTTTATGTTACACAGTAGTATAGAACTTTAATTAAAGCAGCGCTATCTCTGTAGTACACCTACTTTTTGAGGCTTAAAATAAAGAGGCTAGGTTATTCAGAGATATGCCAATGTTTACATTTCTTATACCAAGAATAATAAGCCAACCTAGACAAACATTTTCCATTTCATTTTTGTTTTTTTGCATAGAATTCATGGTTCTGTGTCCTCAAAATGCTCAGTATAATTATTTAAAGCTGAGGGAAACTAATACCACACAGGAAAATTTTAAATTCACTTTAATGTTTCTTTGTTTGCAGAATCATGAAGGAATTTATCCCCTTTAAAGAACACTTTTTGTACAAGAAGTTAATATAAACCTCCCACATCTAAGCAGATATTCATTTAAAAGTGAATATTCAAACATCCAAATCACTCTCCAGAAGACTTAACACACACACATTCTCATGTACTTATGTTTCACAGAATTATATTAACAGATTGCTTATCCTTCTGTGAAAAAAGTCACTGCGGTCCAGATTGGTTTAAACCTTTCAAAGCATTGTGTGTGTTTAAGGCAGACAGATGTACAAGCTTGTTAAGCCAATGTAAAATGGCCTGGAACAGTTCAGAAGTATACATGAACAACTGAGTACTATTTTGAACTGGTTCACTGCAAACCAGTTTGATGTTACATGTGGACACCAAGAATTCTGCTACACATCATCAGTCTTCCAGGCATCCCACACTGTATCACTCTTCACCCCTACCGCTAGTACACAACGGATACCCCCTTTTTGGCATTTTTTAAATCAATAAGCTTCTTTAAACTGCTTGTTCAATAAAAGCTATTTTTCTAAAACCAGTCATGTCCTCACTCCCTACTTAACCTCAGTCCTCGGGCTTGCACTGTTTAACATCTTCATCAGCAACTTGGACGAGGCGGTGGAAAGCACGCTGTCCAAGTTTGCTGATGACACCAAGATGTGGGGCAAGGTGGACACACTTGAAGGGAGAGAGAGGCTGCAACTAGATTTAGACAGACTACAAAAGTGGGCAGATGAGAAAAGGATGGGGTTCAATGTAGACAAATGCAGGGTGCTGCACCTTGGGAGAAGGAACCCACAGCACATACAGGCTGGGGAGTTCCCCTCTTGAAAGCACACAGGCGGAAAGGGATCTTGGAGTCATAGATTCATAGATGTTAGGGTTGGAAGGGACCTCAATAGATCATCGAGTCCGACCCCCTGCATAAG